GAACGTGCCGATGTTCTTTGGGCCCTGGATCCTTCATTCGATGTGTCCTTCAGGACTCTTCTTGCCTCAGCTCCTCTCGTCCGACTTCCCTGGAAGGTCGGTGTGAGTGCCTTCCACTCCTGGTGTGCTGAGGGGCTTCAAGGATTGCTTTCCTTCCTCCCTTCTGGGTGTCAATTGCTAGCATCGACGTATCTTGCAGCGGGTATGGTGGCTGCATAACATTGTTTTGCATCATGAAGTTGACCACTGACTGTAGGTCTGCCTACTTGTTTGTCAAGTCTTTTACTTCTTCATCTCTCCGTAGGCACCTATCCCTCCATACCTGAAGGTTATCTTCATTATAATACTTTCTTTGGTTTGTTCGCTTCGAAGTACCGCCCTCCTGGCCGACGTCTTTCTCTTCGTGACCCTGGTCATGATTTTCTGTACTGTGGTTGTCTCCTTCAACGTCAAGATCAATTGGTCTGCCACTCCTAGCAGGAGTGTCGCCCCCAATGTTTTCCCTCTGTTCGTCACTGGCCATCTATTCTTCTAAGATTCCCACAGACGGCGCCAAATTGTGTGGGTAATTTTCTGACCACACTGCCTGCCTAGTAATCAGCTGGAGAGCACCGGCAGAATAGATGGCTTCAGCAAACCTGTAACAGAAAGAAAAGGCTCCAGCGGTGGCTCTTCTACCCGGGGGCACTCCGACGATCAAGTCAGTATATCTCTCAAAGATAATCAAGTGCTAAACTCACAAGCTTGAATATAAAACTGCGTACCTTAGACCCACGGGGGTGCCTCTCTTTTATAGTTTACTAAATCCAAGTCCCACTAGAAGTCTGACTTCTATGGACTCCAATTCAATGTCAACTTTGGACTCTTTAAGAGATAAAGATAAACTCCCTAAGAGCTTTATCCTTATCTTAGCAAAGTCTTCTCTTTTATCTAGTACTCTTGCTCCTTATCCATTTATCCGCCTATCTCGGATTCCGATATCTTCGGAGATCACCTCGGCCTCGCCAAAGATAACCTCGGCATAACTACCAAGACACGTGGCACCTCGGCTGACACGTCGGCATCACCATGCCACGTGTTGGTATTCAGAAAATACATCCCCACAAATATATAACAAAGACAGTATATTTAAGGATATCCATGAATCATTACTCCCAAGAAAAATATTTCATAACCCGAAGGAATGCACTCGCGAAGAGAAGGAGGTTGGATTCCAGTGGTTAAATAGAGAGGAAGGTCAGTGCCACACAACTCCTGGTATGAAGATCGAAGGGCTGGTTTATTCACCCTTTTTGTGGACAACCTCCCTGAACCTATGGACTCGCGAAGTTTCTACAAACTATTCTCCAAGTATGGTGTAGTAAAGGATGCATTTATACCAAGCAAGAGAAGGAAATCGACAAATACAAGATTTGGGTTCATCAGGTATGACTGTTCCATCTCAGCCAGAATAGCAGAGCAGAAAGCAAATGGCTTGTGGGTTGATGATAAATTGCTAGTAGTCAAAACCACAGAGTATGGTAAAGGAATAGATGATAGGAGGAAAGTAAATCTAAAACCAGCTAGACAACCAGAGTCACGCAAGCCATTTGTTTCGACCGTCAACAGTAATTGGAATCAAAGGATTGATGGAAGAACGTTTCCAGATGTTATCAAGAGCACCGATTCAAGATGCCCACCTAAGACAACTATCAAAGTAGAAGAGCTAGGCAATGAGTGGTTGTTTGAGAGCTTGATCATGAGGCTTAAAATGGAATACTCTATTCAGGAGGTGAAAAATGAGCTCAAAAAGAGAGGTATGTTGAGCGTGATGGTTAGAGTAGGTAGTGGTCGAGATGCAATCATCTCCTTTAATTCCAGAGAAGATCTGTTGAAGGAAAAATCTCAACTTGAAGCTTGGTTTCATGATTGGTGCGACTACATCACTGAGTGGCACTCTGGTATGCATCTCCAACAGGAGAGATATGTTTGGATCAGGTGCTATGGTGTGCCCCTCAACCTGTGGAATTCAGTTACTTTCAAAAAGATTGGAAGTTTATGGGGAGAGGTGGTTCTTCTGAATGACAACATTTGTTCTCCCAAATCTTTTCGTTGTGGGTGGCTCAAATTAACCATTGGTGTTATGGACTCCATTAGCACGAGTTTAAACTTGGAATGCAAAGGCAAACTTTACCCCATAAGAGTTTACGAAGAGTAAAATTCAGAAAATGCATTATTCAGCTACAAGGGAACTACTACCAATGGGGCTAAGGAAGATAGGTGCTCCAAAATTAATCACCAGCCCATTACATGTACAAATCTGGAGATAGAGGGTGATGCCAGAGTAGAAGATATGGCTGGGGAATATGAGGTGTCAAATGCATCCATGGCTTGCAGGTCGAAAAACAATGTTGGGCTGGAGGTTGGTGGTAGTTGGAGTAATGCCTCAGCAGTAGAGTAGACTAAAGCTTCGAGGGAAATTGAAATGAAGAAAATACTTGTGTGGTAGAATCATCATTACCGGAGGGAAGACTGCAGCAGAAGCATTGGTCTAATCATATCAACCACACAGGTATGGTGGTCCCTATAATAGAACACAATCATAATCCTCAACTAGCTGTGTTAGTACCTACAGTGGTGGATAGTCAGGTCCTAACTCCTGGTTTCATTAAGAGCCTTAGTGAGCCATCCAAGATTAATCCTGGCATTTGTTTGGAAGTAGACTTACGCTCTGTCCATTCTGGGTTACAGCCCACTGCGGCAGCCAATGGCTGTGTCTAGCCCATTAGATCTAAAGATTATGTTCCTAATTCATCTTCTGAAAGCCTAGGGTGTGGTATCTCTGATGTGGGGTCCCATTCTAATAATAGTTTTTCATACAGCCCCTTATTCTCAGCACCCATCAATACTCGTATAAAGAAAGGCAAAAGGAAAGTTAACAAGAATCCCGTGTTCATTGGTAGATTCTCAGGGTTTGCTAGAAAATTTGGTTAGAAAGGTTGTGGAACCAGTAAAGGCGCCATGGCAAGATCTTGTGTTGCCACCAATTCAAACCACAACTCGCAATCTCAGAACCTATCAGCTGGCAGAAATCAAGATGCTTGTGCTACGTCGCAGTTGGGGAAAGTACTGGGTATTGAGTATAAAGGGCAGGAAGCTAAGGTAATCAGCAGTGCTGCCATAAATTCAAATCACAACTCACAACCTCAGAACCTATCACCCGGCAGAAATCAAGAAGCTTATGCTACATTACAATTGGGGAAAGTGCTGGGTATTGACTATATAGGGTAGGAAGCGCAGGTAATCAACCAATTAACCCTTATGGTGGAGAGGGACCAAGAGAGGATGGGAAGAGGGATAGATCCAGGGGCATAATCAGCTCCATTTGGGTGGAATCAGTGATATGGCTACTTCTATGAAGACACTGAGTTGGAATATCAAAGGGGCTGGAAGGCCTGAAAGAGAAGAAAGATTAACAAAGTTTTATTTGAAAGGAAAATTGATTGGGCATTATTTCAGGAAACAAAAAAATCAAGTATGACTAACTTAATGGTGAAAAGCTTTTGGCCTAGAGATAACTTTGAATTGATGGCTGTGGATGCTGTTGGGCTGGCTGGGGGACTTTTATGCATCTAGGACCCCAATGTCTTCCAACTGTTAGATTGTTGCAGCAACAGGAACTTCATACTACTCTCAGGTAAACTCCAAAACTCATTTGATTGTGTAATTGTAAACATCTATGCTCCCAATGATGTTGTAAGCCGAGGTAAACTGTGGGAAACACTGTTCACTCTGAAAAATTCCTTCCCTAAGCCCTGGTGCCTTGGTGGTGACTTCAATGAGATCAAAAATTTAGGTGAAAGAGTTGGAACATCAATAAGGGATAGGGGCATGAAAGAGTTCAATAAATTCATAGATAAGTGTGAGGTGGTAGATTTGTAAATGATAGGGCGAAAATATACATGGTGTAATGCTCTTGATGGAAACAAATGGGGCAGGATTGATAGATTCCTCATTAATCCAGAGTGGATGAAGAGATATAAATTCAAACTTTGGGGTCTTCCAAGAGTAGTAACTGACCACTGTCCAATTGTGCTCATGGAGGATAAGAGGGATTGGGGGCCTAAACCTTTCAAGTTTTTGAATGCTTAGCTTTTGCACCCTAATTTTGCTTCTTTTGTGGGGGAAACCTGGCAACAATATTAGTGTTCTAGATCTGCTGGCTCTGTTTTACAAAGAAATTTTTATAATCTGAAGATGGCTTTGAAACAATGGAACAAAGAGGTGTATGACAACGTAACTTCCAAACTTGAAAATTCTGAATATAAACTCAATGAACTGGATTTGATAGCTGAAACCAGGCCTCTGGACGAGGAGGAACTGAAGTTGAGAAGGGAGACCAGAAATGATATGTGGAGGCTGAGCAGGAAGTTGGAATGGGAATGGCTCCAAAAATCAAGGCTTGACTGGAATCTGAAAGGGAATAGAAATACAAGATACTTCCATGTTTCAGCTACCAACAGACAAAATAGGAATTCACTCAACTCTATCACAAAAGGAAACTTAGTTCTTGATGAGCCAAGTCAAGTTAAGAATGAAGTATGGGCCTTTTTTTCAAAGCATTTCACAGAAGAATGGTTGATCAGACCAGTGCTTGTTGGGGACTTCAAAAGTGTAAGGCATAGTGACTCATTCCATGGGCTTGAAGAGGCATTTACTAAAGTGGAGGTTTGGGCAGCGGTTAGAGATTGCAATGGGAATAAAGCTCTAGGCCCAGATGGTTTCAACCTGATGTTTTTTCAAAAATATTGGAAGGTGATTAAGGAGGAAGTGGTTAACTTTATGAAAGAATTTCATGCCCATGGCAGATTAATCTCAGGTCTGAATAGTACTTTCATCTCTCTCATCCCTAAGAAAGATAAAGCCATCAGTCTGAATGAGTTTAGGCCTATTAGCTTGGTTGGGCAATTTACAAACTTCTCTCAAAAGTCCTTGCTTCCAGACTTAAAAAAGTCTTGCCCATGATTATAGAAGATACTCTGTCAGCTTTCTTGGGTGAAAGGAATATACTTGATGGTATTCTAATTGCAAATGAGGTGGTGGATAGTTGGTCTAAATCTAAGAAAAAAGGGCTGTTGTTTAAGCTAGATTTCAGAAAGGCTTTTGATTCCATTAATTGGAACTTCTTTTTCTTAATGCTAGCAAATTTTGACTTTAGTGCTAAGGGGACTTCTTGGATAAAAGAATGTGTCTCTACTGCAAGACTATCTGTCCTTGTTAATGGTTCACCTACCATGGAATTTAGTCCCCAAAAAGGCCTAAGGCAAGGTGATCCACTATCACCTTTCCTATTTATTTTGGTTGCAGAAGCACTGAATATACTCCTGCAGAGAGCTAGAGAACTGAATTTGTTACAAGGGGCTATCATTAGATCCAATCGTGTAGTGATCTCTCACATTCAATTTGTAGATGACTCTTTATTATTCTACGAAGCTGAAATGTCAGAAGTACTTTGTTTGAAGCGGATTCTTAGATGCTTTGAAATAGCTTCAGAGCTAAAAATTAACTATCATAAAAGTGTGCTATGTGGGATTGGCCTTTCAGATTCAGATCTTCATGAGTTTGCCATCTTTCTTAATTGCAAGACACAGAGATTGCCATTAAACTATTTAGGCCTGTCGTTGGGTGCAAGTCCTAGGAGAAAGAATACTTGGAAACCTATTATTGACAAATTCAAAATGAGACTTGCCGGGTGGAAAAGGAGATTCCTATCTTTTGTAGGAAGATTAACATTGGTGAAGGCAGTGCTATCTAGTCTACTAGTGTATTTTATCTCTTTGTTCAAACTACCTGAAGGAATAGCTAAGGAGTTAGACAAAATACAAGCTTCGTTCTTATGGGGGAGCTCAGAATTGAAGAGGAAAATTCATCTGGTGAAATGGTCGGAAGCAACCAAAAGTATCAACCAAGGTGGGCTAGGTATAAGAAGAATTAGAGATGTGAATGTGTGCTTGCTTCTCAAGTGGTGGTGGAGATTTTCTTTGGAACATGACTCATTATGGAAGAGGGTTCTCTGCAGTAAATACAGATTCCTGAGAGGAAAATGGTGCCTCATCTTAACTCAAGCATTATTCTATCTAGACTTTGGAGTGATATTGTATCAGCAGTTGAGCAGAAGGTATCCTTATTCACATTCTATGTTTCCCACTTACAATTAAGAGTGGGTAATGGTTGCAGAATGAAATTTTGGCATGACAAATGGTGTGGAGTTATCTCTCTTAAAGATGAATTCCCAAGGCTATTTCGGTTAGCTAATGATAAGGAGGGATCTGTTAAGGACCTTGTGGAGATCAGAGGAAACTCTTACAATTGGCTAGTCACCTTTAGAAGACCTCTATTTGAATGGGAAAAAGAGGAGCTACTCAGACTAAATGGAATGTTAAGTGGAGCACCTGCTCTTAATCTTCAGGTCAATGATTTGGCACTCTGGTCTACTGCTAAACCAGGTCAATCCCTTGTTTCTGTTTTCTATAAGCATACCAACGTTGCTTCTGGGGCTAATGCCATCTTCAGTAGATGGGTGTGGATTAATTATCTTCCTCCCAAAGTGCAATTCTTTGGCTGGCTTGCTTGGTGATATAAGGTTAAAACATTGGTTTTCCTACAACAGCTTGGAATTTTGGACAGGTATTCTTCTACCCTGTGTACTTTCTGCAAGTCCCAGCAAGAATCAATTGATCATGTGCTGATTTTTTGCCCCATGATATGGAGAGTTTGGTCAGAGCTTCTACAATGGTGGGGGGTAGTTTGGGTGGTCCCTGGGTCTATACAAGGGCTGTTCCAGTGGTGGGCTGGGCGTAGCTGTAGAAATGAAGAAATGAGGATTTGGAGTGCTATTCCTCTAGTGACTCTATGGTCATCGTGGAAACACAGAAATGAATGTCTCTTCCAAGGCTCACAACCACAGCTTCAGGATCTTCATGAACTCATTATCACCAGACTAGCTTTCTGGTATGAAGCTGCATCCAAAAGGTTTCAATTTTCAATTCATGACTTCTTTTTCAGTTTCCCTCAAATCAAATATTGCCTTGGTGGTAGGCACTCGTAGTCTTCATGCATTTTTGAGTCCTACTACAGTCAATGCTATTTTGCATCATAAGAAGTTCTGGTTGAATTTGGTGAAGCTCTGGTGCATATCTTGCTATTAGCTCTGTTCTGTTCTGGTGTTGTTCTTGGTGATGATCTGCTTGGTCTGTTCTGTATTGCTCTCATCTGATCTGCTTTGCTTAAGTTCTGATTTGTTTTGCTCTGGTCTTGGTATTGATCTTCTGGGACTATTCTGACTTGTTTTGCTCTAGTTTTGCTCTGATCTGGTGCATGTCTTGGTGATGATCTGCTTGGCCTGATCTATCTAGCTCTGGCCTGATCTGTTTAGCTCTGGTTCTGATCTGCTTTGCTTAGTTCTGGTTTTGGTGTTGATTTTTTTTGTTTGTTTGTTGTTTTGTTTCGTTCTGTTTGTTAGTCCCTCCCCAACTGGAGCTTGGAGCTTTTGCTAGCCCCAAGCTCCACTTTATTGATGTTTTCCTCATACTTTGTATGCTCTCATCAATAAAGTTCTCTCTTGCCATTCAAAAAAAAGAAAAATAGTTCATAAATTATCTCATTATTATTTCCTTTGCCGAACATGATGAAGCCACCATGAGACATTACAAGCCGAAGCACACAATCCTATACACAACAGTTAAGTAACTAGATAAGCCGAGTTATAACAATGATCCAAAATTGAATGAATACCGTACTACAATTCTTATGGAACCACATAAGTTTAGATAAAATTTAGAAAGAAAAAAATAATAAATAATTGTGTATATGCAATATGAATCTTTTACATTCCATAAACAATATTAGGATATAACAGTCAAGATGTCCCTTGAGGAAATGCTCAAAATGCATAAATTGTACCATCTCAAGAAAGCCTAGCCTTGTTTGAAAACAGACTATTTTAGTAACTTTTTGACTTTTTATGAAAACATACGCAAAAAAATAGAGAGAGTGATGTGACAACTTATAGTGACTTTTTGACTTTTTGGTTAAAATATTTAGTTCCTAAATGAGGCCACGCATAAATATGCAGCTTACAATCAAAATTTTGCACTGCAACTAAAACTTACAATAGATGACACAAAATTTTGCAAATATTTACAAAAACCACCAACAGCATAAATTAGAACCTAATTTTCAATTAATGCACTGCATCTAAAACTTCTCTATAGAATATTGACTACATAAATCCCTTGTATTGTAGCTGTTATCTGTGCTGGTCTGCTGGTGTAGTTTATTAGCTGCAAGTTATCTATCCTTTGGGTGTTCCTGCTGGTGGTGTTTCTGCCTGGTCAGTTTGGGCGCTGTTGTGAGCTAGTTTTGTATAGGTAGTGGAGGGCTGCAAATGTTGTTGATTGATTTTGGTGGACTGCTATGGTGGGCTGGTAGTTAGGTTTTGTGGAGTGTTTCTCTTCTAGTTAGGTTTCCTTGAGGAAATGAGGCATCTGCTGTTTCTATGTTGCTATTCTGTAATGTTGTTTGCTATGGTGGTATATGGTCGTCTGTAGATCGTGCTCTTGCTGTATTGTTTGATTGGTAGTGGTTTTGATTGGGCTGCTTTGTTTGTCTGCTAGATTGTGCTCTTGCTGCTGGAAGGCTATTTGTTTTGTGCCTTCTATGCTCATCTCTATCTTGCTGATCTGATAAGGTGATTGCCAAGGTGACTGTTAGACTAAAACTGGTCTGCATCAGATGAGTGGTTAGGTGTTTTGTTTTGTCTTCACCTGGTGGTTTTGCTTGTTGGTTCTGTTCTGTTTGATTGGTTGTGCTTTGTTAGATGAAGTTCAAGCCATCAGAGGTTTAATGCTTGTTGTTATGTGTGTTTGTGTATTGGAAAATAAGGGTGCGCATCATATGGAAGAGACATTCAGTCTGCTGGTGCTTTGCAGCTGTGCATAGGTCTGCCTAGTTGAAGTTTGATATTGAGCTAAGGGGCGCAGTACTCTGTTTTAGCTTTAGAGTTCAACTCATATGAAGTTGTGTTGTGTTCTTTTATTGCCTTTTACGCCTGGAATTGCTATGCTCTTAGGTGCTAGCATTGGTGATGCTTAAGTTGAGTATACTAAGCTGCTGCTGCTGATTTTGTGATCATTTTATACCAGACTAGCCTAGAGTGCTCATCAATCTGCTGATTTTGTCTGCTGCTGATTCTGTGATTAAAGCTGCAACATGCCTGGAAGTGTTCATCAATTTGCTGAAATGTAAAGCTTGGCTAGGCTGCTTCTGCTCTGCTGCGGCACTCTGCTGGTGTTCTAGCTTTGGTTGTACAATTCTATACTGCTAGTTGGCTATACAATTCTGTGCTTCACTGATGTTAGTTGTCTGCTAATGGAGTACTAAACAATTTGCTGGAAGGTGAAGCTAGGCTAGGCTGCTTGGAGTTGGGAGTTGCTATTTATGGATGTGCTGCTGTGAAGATTATGCTAGCATAATGAGCACAAGGAATTATTAGCTCAAGGAATTATGCTGATTTGCTGATGTATGCTGCTAGTTGGCTATACACATGTCAGCTTGTTTAATTGTTTGCTAATCTTGCACCTTTGGAATGGTGTTTGAGTTTGTGGATGCATAGTCTTGGGGATTAGTCTCGTGGAAGGTATGCTAGAGTATTAAGTTGGATTTGTGGCTATATAGAGTTGGTTCAGTTGGTCTGCTAAGTCTGTTCTGGTTGGTTTGCTCAGCTCTGTGATGAAATTGGGCCTATTGCTCTGCATTGGTGGGAATTATTCAAGCTGCAAGTTGCTTGAGTTAGAACAGTGGCTCTTGAGTTAGAACTGTAGCTGCTTGGTGCTGCTTGGTTGAATTGCTTGGGAATTTTCTTTCCTTGTTTCTGCTGGTGTATCTTCTAAAGGCCTTGGGGCTTGTGTTGTTTTTCTTTCTTTTCTTGTTGGTTTCTCACCAACTTTCGGTGGTGCTAGCAAATTATTGGGTATCCTCCTTGGTGCCAACCTAGTTGGGATTGGGGGGGGGGGCATACTTTGATGCTTTTTGCACCTCCTCTCTTTATTGATGTTTTTTCATATGTAATGTATGTTTTCTCATCAATAAAGTGCTTTTTTTTCTAATAAAAAAAAAAATATAGACATGTAACATGGTAAAGGACAAGGTTTAAAACTTCAGAATCTAAAAGTAATGACAACGACAAATTTGACCTGCAAATAGAACAGAAACAAGTCCAACTCATGTATGATAATAATGAACCCAAAAAAAATTAATAATATAATAAACATTAAATAAATAAAAATGAAAAAAAATAAAGAAAAAATTATTAGAACAGTTGGATAAGCTTATTTGACA